TATATATATATATTTTACATTTTAAAAGCATTTTTACATTTATAAAGCCATTTTTTCTTAAAGTGTGCTTCATCTTTTTGAGTCAAATTGTTGCATATAATTTGTCAATTAGAATAATGAGACATTTGGGCTGTTACCAAACAAATGGTATAAATATCAACGAAATTAATCTTTACAATGCAGAGGAAACAAGTTGCATCTGAAGTGACATTTAGATGTCACACTGTTTAATGCAGCTCAGAGGGACATGGGGTGCTTTAACCTGCAGTTACAAATGCATAGATAATGTTTTGATATTGTAAACAAAAAAACAAACAAACAAACAAAAACAAAAAAAAATTAAATTATTTAAAAAATATAAATGTGAAATTTAAACCACCAGTAGGTGGCAGCAAGTCACTGTTAGAGTCATTGCGATTGAACTGAATCATTTAAAGGTTGATTCATTCAGAAACGAAACACCGTCATGTTTTTGTTTATTGAACTGTATATTAATATCACATCATTTTAACATCACATTTGAAATCATGTTGATTTTTGGAGAAAAGAAACGAGAATGATATATAAATTATATTTATATAAACTATATAAAATTATATAAGTTTATATATTTTCTGCTCCCATATCTTGAATTTTGTGATCATTCGAAATTTATTTTAATAAACTGAATCATACAGTGAAAGAAAGCACTGTAAATGCGCACACGCACTAGTCTAACCTACTACACTTCATCACACACTGTTTCTCTGGCATTTTCAAAGGCACGTAACATAAAATACTGTGGCTTGGCATGATACACAGTCTAATGGTCTAACGAAATCCAGTTTTAAACATCTTTTACTGTACCCATTGTATGGCCCTTATATGACCTATTTGAGCCAATGCAGATGCATGAAGTTATCTCAGGACGAGACCGCCCTGATTGTAAAGCAAGACGTGATTGGCTATAGCGAGATCGTGCTACGATTGGTCAACGAATGTGGCTGTTATCTGATTGGCTTGAGACGGTGGGTGGAGTCCACGTATTTGTGGATTGTCAGAACGTCTTGACGCAAGAAATGTTTCACAATTCGCAAATGCACAGGACGCGATTCACAAATAAATGCCAGGCAAAGTTGTGGTTGTGACATAAATATATATTTGTGAATATGTTTTTTATTTGCAAATCTCATTTTATTTATTTGTGAATTTAATTCATGTTTGTGAAACTTTAAGATTTATTTGTGGATCTCATTCTATTTATTTGTGGATCATAATCTATTTATTTGGAATTAAGCAACAATTCTACCCCCATAATTTTACCACCTTGTTGCTGGGGAAGATAATGTAGCGATCTAGTATCTAGGCTATTTTATTAATGAAAATCACGGAGAAGCATTGACAACAAGTTTGTGTCTGTGTGCAGCGCAATCAGCGATCTCTGACCTCTCTCTCTCTCCTGTGTGTGTGCGAGTGATGCTTGTTGGTTAGTGTAAATCAATTAAAGCAGCGCATTAATATAGAGCGGTGATTAAACTGACTTGGAACTACCTGTGCATTAAATGGTTTTACTGCATACCTGCCAGCCAATCAGAATCCAGTATTCAGACAGACCATGGAATAAAGTGACTTATA